GTGTGTGTGTGTGTGTGTGTGTGTGTGTGTGTGTGTGTGTGTGTATACATATATGCTACTACACCTACATTTATTTTATGTAGGCTATATGTTGCTACTGTATGGTCCTACATAGGAATCTGAGACATACATGTTTACATGTTTACATGTTTACAGCATTTCACTTCTACATCCGGTAAAAATTTAGTCCCAAACCATCGATGAGATTAAATTCGGGGCCTTGGTGTTTTTGCCTTCGACCTGAAATAAACGTAACCTGAAGTTGAAAGCATCGAGGCACGTACATGCATAAAAAGCAGGTGCACCTTGTTTCTGCAGAGGCAGCCTTTTGTGTTCACTGTCTCAAATGAGCCACGAAGATTAGTTCGGGGAGAAAAATACAGGTGGGGATATAATAAAGGAGAAATGAAAAGCGCTCAGCCTCTTACCGTGGTGGTTTCAGTCATTGCTCCTCATCATTACGTTTTCCTCCAGACCTCTGACGTATCGTTTATTCCTACCAGGCTGTCTCACTCCCTCGCCTCTCATGTCATGTTTCTCCGCTGCTGCAGCAGAACGAAGCCACGCCTCCTCCGCAAGCGTCATGACGTCAGCACCGGTTGCACCTCCAGTGAAGCGCCGCCAGAGGGAGCTGTGCTAAAAACAAAAAACAAACGATGTAGCTGAACGCTGAATTTATCATGTTGAAAAGCCAGACTGTTTGTCTTTTCAGCGTTTTAAGATGTTGCCAACTAAAGGTATTTAATAGTTATGTTCCTCTCTTTAGTATTTTACATTGCTTCATAGTGTAACTGTTTTTATTTCATTTTAACATCCTTTTTTTTATTTACTTTTCATTTTATATTGTCTATTGTTGTCCGTACCTCATCTGTGTTCTTTAATTAAAACAGGTATCTCTTGTAAATGAGTCCTCGAGGCTCAGTGAGACTAACCTGTATAAATAAAGGTTGAATAAGAAAAAATATATTTAAATTCATGTTGTGACTACAGAAAATTTTGCAAAACTATATTTGAACACCCTCAAGAAATACTAAACAGTTTTTTTCAGTTTGCTACACAAAAAGAAAGAAACTAAGAGTTCTGTAGGTTGACAGTACAATGCACTGAGAGATGGATGAGTGCTGATGAAACAGAGATATTAAAGCTAAAAGAAACAAAACACAATTGAAAAGTCACAAATACAGTGACCCTGAAGTGTAAACCACAAGTATAAATTACAAAATAGCAACATAATAGCTAAAAGTTGTAAATTACTAAAAGTTGCAAAAGGCTAGGTAAAAATTAAATGTAGAAAATGTATGCTTTTTTTTATAGCTGGTGTAGCCCTGCAGATGCCAAATTGTACAAAATGCCATTTAGGCATAAAAAGAAACAAAGGCGTGATATTTTTTCTTGAAATTATAGCTGAAAGTTAACAAAAGCATACATGAAAGCTAAAAATGCAAAGTATCATAGGTGAGCTAAAGTATCAGAAGGTTAGCTAAATATAGCAGAATTGGAGCTAAAAGCTATAAATAGAAATGGGCTAGCTAAAAGTAGCACATTAGCTAAAAGCTAAATAGAACAGACTAAATTAGAGCAAGTATGCCAAAGCTGATTTCAAAATTAACACAGTTTTTGAAGAAGCTGACGAGATCTCCATGCGTTTTGTGAGGAGAGCATTTGTTTAAAAATATACATTAGAAAAATAAATAGGCTATAATTAAATATTTAGAAAATTATTAAATGACAAAATACAAAAGTCATAGCACCCATCTCCTAAACCAGCAGAATACTCTGATCAACAGAAGTGGCTAAAATAGCCCAAAGAGTGCAGAAGTCATTATAGAGTACATAAATAAATAATACAGAAAATTGCAAATAAAAGAAAAAAAAATGCAGGAAATCAATTACCATTTACACAAAAGTTAAAAACCTTGAGAAATCCAGAAGATTTTATCAATCAAGACCTTTCAACAAACCACAAGAGGCAAATAAAAAAGAAATGTGATATGACTCTAGACTTCAGACACAACAATGTGTAAATAAGTTAAATAAAAGCACCGATCATCCTTTAGTTGCTTTGTGTGGAACAGGTCCAGCAGGTTCCATCAGGCTGCAGGATCAGAGCTCCACACATCGATCAGCTTGTGCACCTGCAGCACCAACACCTCTTCCTCTCTCCTCCTCCTGTTTCTTTGCTGTTCCCATTTGATTTTTCTGTAGCTTTTTTTTTTTTTTTTTGCAGTTTTTTTCCTCTCACAAGACTGGAGCTCAGCCATGAGGTTCCTCACCGCTCTCCTCCTTTCCTTCGTCCTGTCTGTTGGATTTATTGGATGTGAGCCCTCCTCGTCCTGCTCGAGCGGCCAGTTTCTGCTGAAGACTCAGTGCGTCCTGTGCCACCCCACCTGCTCCGAGTGCAATGGCCAAGAGCTGTTCGACTGCACCACCTGTGGAGTTTGTGAGTGACAAATACTTTAACACAGGGTTTAAAATCAGATGTGGATGTGCTTATTTTCCTGATAATGTGTGGATAGAGGCTTGTTGTTTCTTTCTAAACAAGTTTTATTTTTATTTATTACTTAAATGTGGAAATTTTATGCTTTTTTGCTTCCTTGTGTGCTTTTTTTTTTATTTGCCCTACAGATGTCAGATTGTATAAAATGCCGTTTAGGCTCATTAATCCTACAGAACAAAACAGTTTTTCTCTCTCCAAAGAGCACGGTGTAATGGTTACCAAAGCAGAGTCTTTTGTACTGCAGGAAAGGCATTCAGCTGAGCTTTACGCTTGTAAAACAGCCAAAGATCACCCGTAGAACTTGTTGATTTTTCTGCCACAGGGACCACCTTCGACGCAAGTTTAAAGAGAAACGAAAGAGTGATCCATTTTCTTTTTTTGCTCAGTGTATTTCAGTCAACTCATAATGGGGTCTTTGTTAATCAGAGGCTGAAATCTAACCCTTAAAGTGATTCCTGTGGCAGTATCAACCAGAAGGAGTTTCCTTACAACCCCACCCCCCTAGTCGTGCATGACTGTTCTTAAAGAACAAAGTGGTAAATCATTTCTGTTTGCTGCCTTTCCCCACTGCTCTCTCTCTCTCCACCCTGTCGCTCATAACGTCACACAACTTGGGTGCAACGGTGCTGAGGATCGTTCTGCAACCCGTCTGCTCCCAGAGACGCCTCAGGTGTTCGGCTGTAGTGGCAGGTGGCAGAGAAACAATCATTAGATCAGTCAAATAACAAATACCACACTGTCTTAGGCTGTGAGCCCTCATCTGTGTCTGATTACTTCTATTTGAAGCATCACCAGTCAGGAAGTGGTTTTCATGCTGTCGTCTGTTTGTTGCAGTCAATATGCTGAGATGCTGCCACTCTCTTTTTTTTTATTACATGTGTGATTTATTCCCCAAATCCCTGTAATAATCTGCACCTATCCGCTCGGTGAGCCTCTCCATTTGTTTCAGTGGAGGCAAAGAGTGCATGCCATTGCTCGGCAGTTCTTTGAGCTCTCTTTCATGATGAGAATCAAAAAAAAAAAAAATATATATATATATATAAATTTATGCTCACTTAATCTTCATCAGCAGAGAAAATACTTGAACTTCTTTATAAGTCCTCCTTGCCCTCCTCAGATGAAGACGGACAGGAGCGTTTCCTCCACCAAGGTCGCTGTCGGACACACTGCCCCAGGGGATTCTACCCTGACAGGGGTCACTATGCATGCCTGCCCTGCATAGCCAATTGTGAACTCTGCGCAGATGGCAATTTGTGTGCCAAATGTCGGGAGCACTACAAACTCCAGAATGGGCTCTGCCAAACTGCACTTTGTGACATAGGTAAATGTGAATCAGAATCCATGTGTAGGCTGTAACTTAAGGAGAAAGACATTCATTGTTCTGGGACTGTGTGTGTGTGTGTGTGTGTGTGTGTGTGCGTGCGTTTCAGGGCAAGTGCAGGACCCAGATACAGGAGAGTGCACTGACTGTGAAATGGGCTGCAAGACATGCTCTACAGGTCTGTTGTCCTAATGTAAAAAATGGTCAATGCTGCAGATTAAAATCCTAATCCTGATGGTGGACAGTGCAGTTTCTCCATCTGATGTCTAATTATTCACCTTTTTTCCTTTTTCTTCCCAGAAGACCCTGAAGTCTGCAACACTTGTGTTCAAGGCTACTTTCTGTAAGTCTTTTTCCCCCTTTAACTTAAAATATAGACTGGGGCTATCCAAAGGGCGGCCCGCGGGCCGGATGTGGCCTACGGGTAACTTCAGTCTGGCCCACCAGTGAGTTCATAAAAAATGTTTTGTTTTATTTTATTTTTTTTGGGGGGGGGGGGGGGGGGGTTCTGGGTTTGGGTTTTGGGTTCTGTTTATTGCATTTATGATTCAGTGCAACAAAATACATTAGTCCCTTGTTTATCGCGGGGGATCTGTACCCTGAAGCCCTGCGATAAGTGAAAAACCGTGAAGTAGGAATAGTAGTACAGGTAGTAAGTAGTAGTTTATTTTAGTATATATAAAGGTCTTTTAAACCCTTCCCACACCCTTGCAATATTCTAAACAACGTTTCGAAACTCTTAAAGCTCTAAAAGAGCACAGAATGTCATGATTTCAGCTTCCTGCCTCCTGCTGCCATCTGCAAGAGCTTTTGGCCACGCCCACTTCTCTGGTGCAGAATGGAGATGTGACACGTTGCAGAAGGAAGCTTCTACTGCAGCTGTGGGCTGCACCCAGGTGCAGCAGGTGCTAAATAATTTAAAGAAATTATTTTAAATAAAAATGTGATGCCGATCATGCGGCTCATCAGTCAATCAGCCAATTGTGTGTCATGTCCAATCTTATTTTGAAAAACCGTGATAGAGTGAGACCGTGATAAACAAAGCATGAAGTATCGAGGGACTACTGTAGTTGGTTTATTTACATAATGACTTTAACTGCTGGATGTCCTGCCCCTGAGTTGCGTGGCTTTCAGTAACTGAGCAGTTTAGCTGAATAGTCCCGATATAAACAATTTTTCACTGCCATTTTCTCTGTCAGAAAAATCAAATACACGGGATTCAGATTCTCCGCCTGCAAACAAACCTGCCTTTATTGTTTATGTTCTCATTACTGACATAATGGTTTTTGTTGTAAGTAACCAGCTTAACATCAAGGTTCGTTCTCAATAATCCAGGTAAATAAATAATCCAACAATGTTCAGTCAGGTTATCTAACCAGTTAAAGTTTGCCTAAATGTTCAAAACACTGTAAACGATGCTTCAGATTTTTTTGAACTATTACCATAACTCAAATATTTTCTTATTTAAATATTTTGTATTGTACAATAACAGAAATAACTTAACAAAACTACTTCAGTTCATGCTTAAAATGTTAGGATATACTTTTTTTTTTTTTTTTGCCAAAGGTGTACTTAGGTAAGTAAGTGATGATATAAATTTAGCAAAACTTTTCATTTTAATAAATATTTCAAGAAATAATTATCGGATGTGTCTCTACAATTTAACTTTTGGAATCAATCCTAATCAAAATGGTCACCACAGCTAATCAACATTAGCCAACAAAAACATCTGTAACTCAGTCAGTTTTGCAGATATGCATT